TGTAAGGACGGAATTTTGTACAAATTCCGCCCTACATAAAACTTATTATTTTTTACTAAAAATCATCTGGATAAAACTCGATTTATATATTTAAACAAATAAACAAAGCCAACCGCGAACATACGCACAAACGACACGCAAAACAAAGCCAACCGCGAACACACGCACACACGACAAGCAAAACAAAGCCAACCGCGAACATACGCACACACGACAAGCATAACAAAGCTGACAGCGAATTATACTTGTGCGGTTGTGCGTGCAATTAAGCAAAGCAAAGTGTCGTATATAAATAGCGGAGATTTTATATGAAAGATCACTTAGCACCGGCACACCGAAGTGAGTAGATCGCTACTCCAGCGCTAAGTCCACTTTTAGAAGCCTATAGTGTTTCGACGCTAAGGCTAAATAAATTCGTAGAAACTTGTGAGTAGATCGTATAACGCCTTTGATGTTTTGACGTCTTTGGCTAGAAACTAATTACGTAGATTTGGAAAAAAAACCCTTTGATGTTCTGACGTCTTTGGGTAAAAATTATTTAATAGACTTTATAAACGCCTTTGATGTTTTGACGTCTTTGGCTAGAAACTAATTACGTAGATTTGGAAAAACAAACCTTTGATGTTCTGACGTCTTTGGATAAAACTAACTGAGTAGAATCAAGACTAGAATAAGTTATTTAAAATAATCTTTTTTTTTTTTTTTTAATAAATAAAATTTTAAAATAATAAAAACAAACGGTCTTTTACTTTCCACTCATTGGTTTACCAGCTTCGAACTAGTCAATAAAACAAATTTATTGCAACGACCCGGACCGCGACTGAGTAATACCTCAGCAAAATTAAAACGACGAATCCGTGTCGTTACAATTGGCGCCCGAGCAGGGACTAGTGTTCGATAGTATTCCAAGTGGGAAGAAAAGAATTACCAGGGACCTGATTGGTCAAATCACAGTGGTCAAGCCTCGAATGGAAATTTAAAATCCAGAGGATAAAATATTAACAAATATCACAACAAGAAACAATGTCGGTGGGATCAAGAGGAATACCAGGAACATGTGGAAGTTCAATAAATCCTCCAGTGCGCTCCTACCTTCAGATGGTTGAAGAGGTACAGAAGTGGTCCTGTAAATATGACGGTGGTAAGGATCCACTAGGTTTCATCGATCACATAGAGGAACTGGCGGCTATGTACAGTATCGATGTAAATCTAATTCCCAAGATGATGCCAATTCTCTTTGAGGATAAAGCATTAAGATGGTACCGTAACAACCATAAACCTTGGCCCCTCTGGTCAAGCTTCAAGGAAGATTTCTTAAAATTCTTCATATCATGTAGATATTTCGAAAACTTAGAAAATGAGGTACGAACACGACTACAAAAGACAAAAGAAAGTTTCAAGGATTACTCACTTGACATCATAAATCTAATGCGACACACTGGCATGGATCCAGATTCGCAATTGGAGCGGGTGTATCGAAACATGAAGGCAGACTACCGGATGTACATTAAACGTTCAGAGTTTACAAGCCTAAATGAATTAACAACACTTGCCGATGACTTCGAAGAACTAAGTACAGAACAGGATAAAGTGAGTCGCCAACGTGTTCGAGAAGTGAACGTAGGGCGCATGGTAGTCGAGTCCCCTCAAGCGATGGTGGTACAAAATACAATGAGAAGCATACCCAATATGCCAGCACAGGATAAAATTATCCATAGTCTAAGCTTTGAGTCGTCCATTCCTGATCAGAAACGAAGTAATCAGCCTCAGAACCAATCAACCGCTAAGCAAGCACCAACATTTATAACTAGAAATGTGACTTCAGCATCACGACCAAAGTCAAGCATAACGACACAACGCGTACAACCTCAAGATTATTCAAAAGCCCAGGGAATAAACCAGCAAGAAAATCCACAAGAGAAGACACCATGTAGGTGCTTAGTACCACGTCTACGAAATATAAAACTCATCACAGAGTCGAAAAGTCAGAGTCCAGATGTACCGCGTCAGCGAAGTTTAAAACTCATCACAGAGTCGAAAAGTCAGAGTGCAGATGTACCGCGTCAGCGAAGTTTCATACTCATTACAGAGTCGAAAAGTCAGAGTCCAGATGTACCACGTGAGCAGGATTATGATTACACCAGTACACATCAAGATGAATTCCTCAAAGTTTTTAGGAATCCTAGAAAGCGGACACGAAACCATTCAACGAAGTAGTCCAGTTCAAATCCCCCGAAGAAGGAGGGAAATGTAAGGACAGAATTTTGTACAAATTCCGCCCTACATAAAACTCATTGTTTTTTATTATTTTATCATCTGGATAAAACTCGATTTATATATTTGAAACAAAAAAAAACACAGCGAACATCCATACGCACAACAAACACCGCGAACATCCGCACGCACGATCAACACCGCGAACATCCATACGCACGATCAACACAGCGAACACCCACACGCACGAAAATTATACTTGTGCGGTTGTGCGTTCAATTAAGCAAAGCAAAGTGTCGTATATAAATAGCGGAGATTTTATATGAAAAATCACTTAGCACCGGCACACCGAAGTGAGTAGATCACTACTCCAGCGCTAAGTCCATTTTTAGAAGCCTATAGTGTTTCGACGCTAAGGCTAAATAAATTCGTAGAAACTTGTGAGTAGATTGTATAACGCCTTTGATGTTTTGACGTCTTTGGCTAGAAACTAATTACGTAGATTTGGAAAAACCCTTTGATGTTCTGACGTCTTTGGATAAAACTTACTGAGTAGAATCAAGACTAGAATAAGTTATTTAAGAAAACTTTAAATAAATTTGAAATAATAAAAACAAACGGTCTTTTACTTTCCACTCATTGGTTTACCAGCTTCGAACTAGGTCCAATAAAACAAATTTTATTGCAACGACCCGGACCGCGACTGAGTAATACTCAGCAAAATTTAAAACGACGAATCCGTGTCGTTACAGAGTTACCAAAGTTAAATCCACTTAGGCTAAGTATATGGTATGGTTATTTGACTAGATTTCAATCTTAATAGAAAATATTGAAATATTGAAGAACATATAAGATAATCATGTGCAGTTTTTAATTCTACAAAAAGATGATAATAATAATCCCACATAACATTACACGATTATACCACATAATTTAGTGATAATCACCTATACAAATTCGAAATATCCTCTCATGAAATCTTTTCAGTAGGACTGATATATCCCTACAAGTGATTCGAAGACAGAATGCTGAAAAGATTCAGGAATAGTTGGAATTAAACATTGATCTAGGTATGAGGGTACCGAAGAAATTAGTTTGTGAATTAATTAATAAGACCAGGAATGAAAACATTTTCAGCAAAGGGAAGAATACTGCTCTTATGGAGAGGTACTGAAAAACATATCCTTAATCATTTTCTAACAGTAATAGAATATAAAAGGAAAGCAAAAGCGGTCTGTCAAGATCGAAGTGGCAAAACTTGTGGCGGTGCTATCAACCTACTGGCAAGTGGCCACTCATTATTAAAAATTGGATATCCATTCAACAAGTCATGAAGGAGCCGTAAAAGAGGAAATAAAAACGAAATAACTGATCACTTTATTTTAAACTAGGTGACCCCGCGAACTTCGTACCGCGTAACAGTCAATAAATGTTATATTAAATTATAGGTAAACTAAATTTAGAAATTTATTAACGTAATAAAATGAATACAAAAAATTTATTGTATTCAATAGTTTATTAGGATATTGATATATAATTAATTATTTTAATGGTCTGTCAGCAAGAACCTATGGGTTGCACTCCGATTGATTCTCTTCAATAAAGAACCTTGTGATATACGATATTTTTTGTTTTTTTATCAGGCGCAAGAACAAATAAAGCAGATGGTTTGCCTACACGTGAACATGCCACGTACAATTGACCATGTGAAAAACATGCATTTTCTAGATTCAGACCACAAACACTAAAGGATTGGCCTTGTGATTTATTTATAGTCATAGCGAATGCAAGCCGAATAGGAAATTGAATTCGTTTAAACTCAAAGGGCATATCGATTGAGATCATTGGAATCCTCGGAATGAGAACTTCATCACTTTTGAATTTTCCTTTGAGTATCATTGCGTGAATCACATTGGCCATCAGTTTTGTTATCACTAATCGCGTTCCATTGCATAGTTTTGGTTGGTTTAGATTTCGAAGCATAATGACTACCGAACCAATCTTTAATTGTAAATTGTGCGGTGGTAAGCCAGGCACATCCAAGGAGTTCAAAAATTCAGTTGGATAGTTGGTAGCTTCTTCTTCGTTTGTTACACAGTCAATAGATTTGAATGTATGCAGAGTACCAACGATTTGATTTTGAATTACAAAGTTTAAGTCATTCAGATCTTTGTTCTCAGCTGTCAAAATTGCTTGCTCACTCAACCATTTTTTGTTTATATGATTATCAATGATTTTCGGAAATACTTTATTGATGAGTTCGTCTTTTGATGACACGAAATTGCAAAAATTTGAAGGAAATGCAATTAATCCGCTCGATTCTTCAACAGTCACACGGCCATTACCGATTAACAGCAATTGCTTGGAGAACTCTTCAGCAGATGTATCGTTGACCAATGCAACTCTCATGTTTGTTACCAGCTGAAGTTTCTTCACATAGCGCCAAAGATTTGATGATTTAAGGCAAGCATTTAATTCGTCGGCAGCAGTCGATTTTGGAATGACTAGGAGTGTTTGGCGAAAATCGCCAGATAGTAAAATCATTGCGCCTCCAAAACATTTTCAGTCATTGCGAAGATCTTTTAATGTTCTGTCAAGTGCTTCTAATGCGGGTTTATGCGCCATTGTGCATTCGTCCCACATGATGATTTTAGATGCTACTAAAACTTTAGCCATTGCAGAATGCTTCGCAATATTACATATCGGTTGCTCGATAGTTTGAAGGTTTAACGGCAATTTTAACGCTCAATGAGCCGTACGGCATCGTTCTAATAATGTAGCCGCTATTTCAGAAGAAGCATCTGCTACCGCAATATCGGATCTCGCACGAACAGTGGCCAAAATTAATGACATGAGGAATATTTTACCAGTCCCACCGGGGGCGTCCAGGAAAAAAGGTCACCATTTTCTTCATCAATCGCTTTCATTAATGTTAAAATTCCTTCTGTTACGGATTCAATAGAGGTACATTAGTTTGAACTGATTGGTCTAATTCATGACGATCATATTCACGTTCACGTTCCAATTCTCGATTAAATGCGTTATTTATTCCACGATCAGGAGCTGGCATTCCTAATCTGACTAACAAACTACCGCAGGTATGGTAACATATGTCTTCGACCAAAAGCAAAGCCTGATTATGCATTTCATCATTCACCTCAAGATCGGGATTTCTTGAACTGACACGAATTCTATGTAAAATGTCTCCTGACATGTTATCCTTATATTTGTTCCACAGGTCAAGTGGATTCGATGGTATATTGACAACAATATTTATTTATTATATTTGACTTTATTATATTTGAATTTATTATATTTGAAATTTCAAATATTTGAAATATTTGAAAAAAAATTTAAAAAGAAATCAATATCACTCAAACTGTCGAACTGTCAACAGTTTGAAACAACATTTACAAATTTATTATTTTTGCTAAAATTAGTGGATTTTTCCAATATTTTATAATGTATTCTGCTATTCGGAGCGGAGACGATTCCAACAAATCAAAGATAATTAAAATCGGTTCAGCCGTTCTTGAGTTATGAGTGGTCTAACTAACACGACTTTCTTTTATGTATATAGATAAAGTAAATGCTTGGAAATTGGGTAATATTTTCCCACTGTCAAATCTTACAAAAATAGAGTTCTTAATGAACCGCGTTGGTTGATTTTCAAAGCGGCTGATTTGTTGCTACTTGAGAGGAAGATAAAGGCTTACTCTTTGAACTGATAAAAATCTTTTAGAGCTATATTTATATTATATTTCAATATATATTAATTTTCATATATTATTTTGAACTCTTTTTGGCGTATCAATAGTAAGTTTACAGAGACAATTAAAAATTCTTGTACCTAAAGTGAGAAATTTTATCGCATAAAAAAATAAACTAAATTAAATATACGAATAAAATAAATCTCAAATAACCAAACAAATTTAGCAATTCGTTTTTTTTTTGTCTGCCATATACACATTCCTAAATTTTGAAGAATATGTATGTATTTTGCTATGTAAAAAAGTGTATATTATCTATTTTGTTTAAATGAAATAAATATTTTATTTACTTCTACGGATATAAGTATACATTTGCAAATTGTTATTAAACAATGTGTAAGTGTATGTATGTATAAATATTAAGATTTATAACTATATCAGACAAAATTTCCATGTAACTATGAAGGTCAGGTAGTAATTCCAGTAATTCCATATTAGCTACTAATGATACTCAATGTCATCTTCGCGATTTACAGGTATCAAATTGACTTCTCGTAATATCACACAGTCCTCATAATTAAAAAGTACAAGGTTAAAATATCGAATATAAAAGACCGCTATATTAACATCAAATATTTATTCCTAATAGAGCAATAAAGAACAACTAACATTCTTTCAAGTTTATCAAATAACTGTTGGAAAAGTGAATTTTTAAAAATGTTTAAAGCCGATTTAAATCAGACGGAGAAAAAAGATGGATATTGGAGAGATATAATTAAACAACTCGCAGATCATTTGTTGGATTTGGAAAGAAAAAATACCGATTTCGTAGAAGACAAACTCACGCTAGAAGGAATTAGACAATTGGACATATATATTGAAAAGTTATTGCAATTCAGCAACTCAGAGAAGAATCGGATATATCTCGAGGAAGAAAATTTGGCTTTGTCTATCAAATTACCATGTGTGATTACACCAAAAACTGAAAAGAGTGATGAATATATAACCGAAACATCTTTCAGTTCAAAAAAAGAAAATTTGACTGATTGTAAAAAAGATGAAACACCGAAAAGCATTAAAAAATTTGCTCTCGATGAGGTGTATTTTCGCTATCCAGCTGCACGAAACCTTGCGTATCCCACACCGCAATTCAATATGGCCTTATTATCAGAACATGTTAACGATTTAAACTCATATGTACAAAAACGAAAATATGAGAAAATAGAAGCAGAACCCGAAGTTGAAGCTGAAGCTGAAGTTGAAGAAAAGCAAAATTTGAAACCAGAATATCCAAAACGCAAGCTCACGGATGCTGAACAAGTTGTTATTATTGGACCAAATAATACAGAAATACCAGCACACAAATTCGATACAATAACTTGGACTTCTGCTGCAGCCGCCACACGTGCTGTGTTAATAAATATATTTGATGAAGATACACTCTCTTCGCACACCTTAACTGGAAAACCATCTCCAGCATTTCATGATCGCCAACGTCCATCTAAGCAACGATTGGATCCACTCAAAATCAATGATATTATACATTGTGTAATGATGAAGTGCCGGTGCAACGAACGCGAAATACGCGCTGCTATTACTAGCAAATGTGCTGACACTGCTAAGAAGTATAAGAAACGTGCTCGAAAATCCATAAACTAACATCTGGTATCTTAACTAATTTTGTACAATTATGTTTGATGATAACATATTAGCTATCTAATTAACTAATGTAATGTGGGGCTTGTAACCCTTAAACTGAATACGATTAATATGATTATAATGAATATATGATTTTTGTTCATTAAGGGGAGCTTGGTAATCCCCTATTATCTATTTTATCTCTGTATTCAATCTGATTAAGAAAATAAAGATGTTGAATTTTGATAATGTAAACGTATATTTAATTTTTGGAGTAAAATAGTAATTAAATGGGGTATTGGAATTTTCAGGAAAAAGTACTTTTATGCTTACCAAACGCTATGTCATTTTCTTTATTAAAAATTTCCCTAGATTATTACCTACTTACAACCAAAGTGTGATCTTCATGTCGCATTGGTTCTGAAGATTTCAAATGGTTTCTTATAGCATAGACTTAACGCAATTGATATTACCATTTAATATAGACTTCCCATTATTTATTATTGATATACTATTGATATGCTATTTTTATTATATTTCTCAATTTTTTTGGAGTCTGATTATTAAGTTTATACAGACGATTGGCAGAAAAATATAATAAATAACATTAAACAAAAAATTTAATTTAACTAGGCTTAGAAGATAAGGTACACTAAATAGTGCACTAAATACCTTAAATATCCTATATCAGTTTTGCATAATATTATGAGAAACACCGGTGTTTACCATAAAAATCTATCTTCAGCAATACTCATAGTCTTTATTGTAGAATAATTTATTTCGTTCAACATCCATTTCACTTATTATATGAGTAATTTAAATTTAAACCTAGTACTTAAAGTTGATAGTACTTCTTAGAACCCATTTGTAAGCATTTCGCTGACATGGATGGAAAGTGAAATTATACTTATTGAAACAACGATATAGTCGCCCATATTCTGTTCAGTATTCGAGTAGAGTATTATCTTGATGAGTTGATGAGCTGCATCGTTGAAAAAATCAGTTTTAGATATTAAAACAGATGCGAAAACTAATATTGAGAGTGGAGGCAAAAAAGGAGACTCCAATAGATAAGTTTTAATAAAACTTCATCTATTAGCAAAAAAATCATAAGTACCTTTAAAAGTATATTACCAAGTAATTAGTTTATAGCAACATTTATATTAGAACAAAAACTTATATATATATCGATAGGAGATTTAGGGAGAGATATAAGTAAAAATTCACATTTTGAAACAGAGTCTTATTATGAACAAAAAAATTATACTATATGGAATATTATGGACAATTATATAATAGTAAAAGTGTTATATAAGCTTTTATTTTCTATTTACATCAGGCTCCTTTTCACCAATCATTGATAAAAAAAGAACTCACAACTACTCTAAAGTACAAATATACTATTCTATATACAAAAAAGATATATAGGTATTACCTAAATTGTATTAATAAAATGAATTTTAATATCTATATATTTATCTCGATATATAAGTATATTTGCAAATTACTTTTAAACAATGGATACATGTGTGTAAAAATGTTTAGATTTATAACTACCACAGACAAACCAAAAATTCTTCGCAACTATATGACGCAGGTATAAATTCTATTGCAAATTAAAACTTATGGCACTATCTTTACGATTTTCAGGTATCAAAAATAATACGAAACATTCACCATAATTAAAACTTTCAAGGTTAAAATTTCGAATATAAAATAGCGCTGTATTAACATCAAACATTCATTCCAAATCGAGCAGTAGACAATAAATAATATTTCTATAAGTTTTTCAAATAACTATCTAAAGTGAATTTTTAAAAATGTTTAAAACCGATTTAAATCAGATGGAGAAAAAAGATGGAAATTGGAGAGAAATAATTAAACAACTCGCAGATCATCTGTTGAATTTGGAAAAAAATAATTCTGATTTCGTAGAAGACAACCGAACACTACAAGAAAAATTAGACTTATATATTGAGAAGTTATTGCAATACAGTACGAGTAACTCTGAGAAGAATCAGAAACATCTGAAGGATGTTTTAACAAACGAAATATTTATTATACTCATTCACGAACTTTTTGTAATTAAAATGGAATCAATTAGCAGTGAACAGACATCAACACCCGCAACTGAAATGTCATCCAAATTTCCTGAAGAAAATTTCTATCCACCAACGAAGAGAATATGTCTTGAAA